CTATCTAAAATGTGAATTATTATTATTATTATTGTTATCATTATTATTATTATTATTATTATTATTAATAATAATAATAATAATAATAATAATAATTAATTTCTATTGTACACTTCCGGATCCCAACCAGGGACCTTACGTCAGAAATTGCCTCATAACATTTTCTAATGAATATTTGTGCAAAAAAAGTACAAAAATATGAATAAGAAACATAGATATTAATAATAATAATAATAGTAATAATAATAATAATAATAAGTATTATTATTATTATAATTATTATTATTCCTTCGTTTCTTAGTGTGTATGTTGCGCTATGGCAATACCATATAAATATAGCCGATTCCGTTTTGTTCACGAGGAAAGAAAGAAAACACATACCAAAAGAGACATTTTGTTTAAGAAAACAGAAGAAAATGTAAAAAGAGAACGAAAGATAGAAAGAGAGAGACTGATAATTTATTCACGTGTATAACGTCTGCTTCAGTGAAATGGAATAAACTTGTGAAGTTCACATCTTTTCCGTTTGTTCTCTCTTGTTCTTTAAATAATAACATGCAGCCGTACTTATGTTTATTAGTTATATTATTTGTTAAAGTTAAGCTCAAAGATTTAACGATACAATACGAGAATTTTTACCGACATTATACACTTGAGGAACTCGTAATCATTAATCTACAAATTATGATTAATCAGAAAATTCAAAATGCAAAACAGTTAAATGTTTACAGTACTACTAGTTACAACAACAACAACACCAACATCAATTTTGTCCCTTACTTTTGGACGATCCTATTTTGAAAATAAATAAATAATTGTTATAATTCTTTTTCTATCCTTTGCAAATGATTCAAATTTTACTATGTTATTATGGATGATAACGACTACCAGTTGTCAAAATTTCAGCTTTTCACAGTTGTTATTTCTAACAAATATTAGGTTTTAAAAGTTTGTCCCTTAGTTTTGGACGCTACTGTATATTGGCATATGTTTTATTTCTGCGCGCAACTATAGCTTAGAATGGTCAGAGTCAGGTTGTTCAGGATTGAAAAGTGGTGACAAGGATTTTTAAAGCATTTGACCCTGAGCAAGTTGGGAGTGTCACTAGTACGCAAGGGGTTACAGTGAATGAAAGCAAGAGGAAATAGGGTTGTTTGAGGAAAGGATATAGAGAAGGACAGGAATCGATATCAAGGCATCAGAAGATATCGATTGACACTACATTTAAATATTGGAAGAATATAGCTAGCAGGGGAGCAAGTAAGAGGAAGGGAGTTCCACTGTCGGGAAGTGCAAGAGAAGAAGCTGTAGGAGTAGAAGAGGCGGTTAAATTTAACGGTTTCGACGGTGAAATGGTGGGACCGAGATGCCAACCTAGTAGCACGCTTAAATTCATGCAGTTGGGGTACCAGTGAAAGTAGCTCGTCAATATTTGTAGAAAAGACAGAGGGAAGCCGCATCACGTCTGTGAGAAAGTGACTGCAGCCGGGATACCAGATCAGGACCTATCATATTGCATATCCGTCATTGGATTCTGTCGAGGACCTCGAGATGAACAGCGAGAACACGAGACCATATATGGAAAAAGTATTCAATGCAAGGACGAATGGCCTGATTTGTAGATCTGAAGGATTTATTCAGGCGAGAAAAAAGATTCTGGTGCGACACAGAGAATCAACTTGCCTTCCTTACCTTGAAAATCAGTATTCGAGAATATATATTATTTATCTCGGCTTAAACAGCTGGTGGCGATGAATGATGTGTAATTTTCTGTCTCACAAGGTAATCTCAGAATAGTGTTTCATTATATGAAAAAGACAGATTAGTAGGTTAAAATTAAATTCACTAAACACAGGTATTCCGAACATCTGTTAATATTCAAGACAGAGCTCAATTTCATCGTTTTTCTGTTTGTTTTTTTATATCTTTTTCGTTTTTTTTTTCACTAAAATTGCAACTTTAATTTGTGTGGCCAAAAAGAAACTGCGTTCAGCTGAGGAGCTAAAACATATAGACAACGAATTCTGTTTGAAATTAACTATATTTTTACAAAGTATTTTACTTATAACCTCATTCATCTCTCAAGCGGTTTAAAAATTACATTTTTCCATTTAGTCTATCTTCCACGAAACTTATTCTAAGCCAGACTCTAATCATCTCTTCAGTCAGTCATGCGTGATACACGCTTAGGCGATACTGTATCTTTTGCAACATTCCTGACGAGGCAGATTTTTTTTCCCAGCAGTAGGTTGCTATTTCTTTCTGCGGTAGTTGCGATCCAATACTATAGAACCCGGTCTGTCCTGCTATTTACCCATAGCTGAGAAGAGAATAAGAGGATTCATACCTTTCCCAAAGGTATTAGCACATAACTGAATGTAATGGACTCGACTGCAATTCGAACTCTGCTCTCCGATTCCTCAATCCTAGCCGCTATCCATTATTCTATCATGCCTCCTCTTACTGATCATTAAACAAATACATAATCTACCGCTATGCTAATGAAATATTATGTCCAATCTATTACTGAATGTTCCATGCCTTTTCTTCATTGCCGTTTATTCTTGGTGTAATTGAAAGCACATTTTCAAGGTAATCGTTGCCACTACATTTCAATCGTTTCGTTCTCCTGAAAATCCCTCCATCTCTTACCAGATATAAACAATTTCCAGCTTTAAATGGAGTCTGGCATTTGGTTAATGGCAGTATATTTTTTTACCCCCACAGTTTCTTGCATTGCCCCTAGTCAAGGCAACGTACAACCTATCAGAACCTTGATGGTTTTACTGCTTGGAAATACCAGATGATTGAGTGTGCGGATGGTGTAATAGATAATGACTCGGAATTGGATATCAGCGAGATGAGTTCCAATACCAGTCGAGTTCGTTATATTTATTTATGTGTAAATACCCTTGGGAAAGGCATGCAACCACATCTTCTTCACCCAGCTATATATGTTATATAGTAATAAATAATAAAATAATTAATATTACAAAAGAAAAAAAAAACAACTGAGAACCTAAAAATATATTCTACATTTAAATAACATGAAAAAGGTTTTATAAAGCCGTATAAAATATCTTAATGAATGAATAATTCTTGCAATTCCTTGTTACATCAGATTGTTTGCTTAATTTATACCGGTGTCAAAGTTGCAAAGCCAGAAGTGGGTAACCCCAGTACAGAAATAGCAGCAGTTATCCATTCTTTGTCTGATTTTACTCTTGCACAGATAAAGCATGATATAAGAGTTTAGGTATTTTATGGAGACTTAAAAAGAAACAAGCATATAAAAAGTTTAAATGCAGTGTCAATCGTTATCTATTCTTTTCTTGATTACTCTTCTACTGTCCGTACTCTTTAATAATGTTTCACTTTGTATATTAGTGGCGTTACTCTCTTGCATAGGGGGATATGATTAAAAAGAAATATAATCCAGCATCGTTAACAATGGCATTATGCGAGCTTTTTTTTTTTAAATCCAGAGTGAGCTTTAGGCCAAATAGGGTTTCGTGTCAAGGCGACTCATTGAGGCTGTGACTTTACTGCCTTTTATGGGCTGAAATGATCAAGAAAAGATTTAAGAACAACACCCTTTGTTAGCTGGTCTCAAACATTAAGAGAATACACGGAACAAGATGGTGAAAATTTAATAAATTTCATGGTCAAATGGTGCTGTCTTTTGGAGAGCACGTTGGGAGGCTCATATGTTTACGCTATGGCAGATGCATATCGATGCGAAGAAATAACAACCACTATTTACTTTATTCGGATTAATGTCCTCATCTTTGTCGCCATATTCATTACAACGTTTTGGCCGTTGTACGCTCCGTCCTTGATCAGGTTGTTGGAATGTCGATCTGAAACCTTTATTTCGCTCACTGTGGTAGTCTGTTCAATTTGCAGGTGCCATGTTTAATGGATGTCACTTGTCAGTTATCTCCTGTTAATTCCCCTTTCCAAGTTCTCCACTGCCTTAACCGGGTATTGAAACGTTATAATAAATATGGCGACGAAGGTGAGAACAATAGTCCCAATAATGTAACTAGTGTACATAATACCACATCTCAGAAATATAGACATAGAACAACCAATAAAAAAAATCAGAGAGAGAGAGAGAGACAGACAGACAGACAGACAGACAGGAGAAGAACTTAGCAGAGTCAACAACTGGCCTGAATAGATCGATAGCCATACAAATAAATTCTTCTACATATACTGTATTGTTTTTAAAGGGACGATAAGATCGCTACAGTTTTGGAACGGTGCCATCGCAGGAGCTGCCAGAACGGGTTGGGTAAAACTACGAACTGCCTTAAGGACTCAATCTCCGGATTTTATCTCGAGGTTTACTCCTGAAACCGTTTCTGTAGCTGGATATAGCCGCAAGTCAGCGGAGGTTTGAAATAAGGGTTTTCCTTCCCCTAGGTGAACTGCCTTCCCAAGCTGTCGAGCTCTACCTACTCGATGCAAGGACCACCAGGACCACAGTTTGGGGATTAACTATTTAACCATAGCTGGGATCCTAACAGGTACCACGGGTCAGGGTGGACGTGGGAACAACAGCAATTAAGTGGCATTTCCACGGTCCTCAAAACCTCTTGATTAGAGGCCTTGCTGTTGGACGTAGTTTATCGTCTTACCCTGGACGCGGATGTAGTTTATCGTCATACCCAGCACGACCCTAACAAGTGCTACCACCACGGGTCAGGGTGGACCTGGGAACACCAGCAATTAACAGGTGGTTCTACGCTCCTCAAACCTCCTGATTAGAGGTCTTGCTGTTGGACGTAGTTTATCGTCATACCCAGGACGACCTTAACAAGTGCTACCACCCCGAGTCAATGTGGATCTGAGAACAACAGCAATTAAGAGGTGTTTCCACGCTCCTGAAAACCTCCTCATCAGAGGTATTGCTGCCGGATGTCGTTTATCGTCTTACCCAGGTGAAGATTTAGACCCTGTTATTTGTATAGCATTTGGGAGGCGCATATGTTTACACTATGATAGATGCATATCGATGCGATGAGATAACACACAATAAAGAAAATCAGAAAGAGAGAGAGAGAGAGAGAGAGAGAGAGAGAGAGAGAGAGAGAGACAGAACAAGAAATCAGGAGAGTCAAAAATTGGTCTGGATAGATCGATAGATACACAAATAAATTCAGTTCACTGTGTTGTGCTAGACAGTCTTTCTCTCCTGAATCTATCTTACATATTTATAAGTCTACCATGTGTTCAAGCTTTGAAAATTACTCCCACATATGCTCTTGTGCCCCTATTGTATATTTACAGATTCTTTTCTATAAATACTTTCATAGTAATTTTTCAGACGAGCTCTTCTCTATGGCACCTTGACTTTATGAATTTAAGCGCAATGCTAGATTGGCAGTTAGGTCTTATCAATTCACATTTCAAATGGCTAGATCTAACCATAAGTTCTATGATAGCATTTTCGTCTCTCGTACTTATTGCTTGCACAGCTCCCTTCTGGATTCATGCTTTCCAACTAAGATTGAGGTTCCAAAATTTAAACACAATATCAATCGTTATCAACTGTTTTCTTGATTATTCTTCTATTGATCACACTCCTTAATAATATTTCTTTATTATTTTTCTTATTCTTTCCCACTCATAAACCCCTTGTGTCTCAGGGGCTTTACTGCCTTGCATGGGATGATATGATTAAAAAATAATATAATCCAGCGTCGCTAACAATGTATGAATTGACGAGTTTTATTTGAGATCTGGGTGTGCGTTAGGCTAAATATATTCTCTCGGCAAGGAGACTCATTGAGGTTGTTAGCACACTCCAGGTTTGTAGCAATTTCCGGGTTTATATGAATTAGATTATTCAGTGTTTTTCTTTCTTTTCTTTTTCGAATCGCAGGTATAATTTCTGAAAAAAAAAAAAAGAAATATGCTAAAAATTTTGCTTATTTTCTCCAATCTTCAGTTTACTCAAATACAATAATCTATTTTTTAAAAAATTATCCCTGATATTGCTTTTCGTAAAATATAATTTCGTTAAAATTCCAGAGTATGTACGGAGATAGGAAACAGTGTACAGCATAGATTATACAAGGAGGCATAAAATAATACGACATTGTACGTAAAGCCTAAAATTTGAACGTTCACAAAAGAAAAAAAAACAAACGAAAACATACTACATAGATGGAATGAATACATTGAAGAACTTTTATATCGCTATAGAGGAGTGACATCAAAATATATTAAAATGAGCATGGGCCATTTATATTCAAATCTAAGGTAAGATCGCCACTGACCAAAAAGAACAGGAACGAAGAATCAGGATCAGATAAAATTGTAATAGACACAGATGACTACGGAATCGATAGGATTACAGGAATAATAAATGATATATGACAGATACGAAATACCTGAAGATATTATTAGACATATCTTCATGTCGAGGCGAAAAAATCCAGCTGCAAATTAATGCGAATTCTGTCGAACAATCAGCTTAATGAGCAAATATCTAAAGTCATTGGATTAAGGTTAATGTTCAAAGCTCCAAGCAGACTTGGCATAAAGCGTGAACTTTGTAGACAGTTCAAGAGAGTGGAACAAGAAAAGTTATTTTTGTAAACACAACGATAACAGAGCAGGCAATAGAAATCTGCAAATACCATTAGATATGGTGCATAGATTAGATGAAAGCGGTTGATAAGATCCAACACAAGGACCTATTGGAACTGTTAGGAGAGCTTGATTTATGAGGAAAGATATTGAAATACATCGTAAAATATATGCGTTGCGTGTTTGTTCGATTCCATTATATATATATATATATATATATATATATATATATATATATTATAATTATTTATTTAAAATATGATTCCAACTCGCGACATAAGAGGTCTCATGTTTCAAAACAAGAGCCAAAAAACTTCAATATAATTCAATTTAATTCAAATAATTATATTGAAGTTTTCGGCTCTTGTTTTAAAACATGAGACCTCTTATGTCGCGAGTTGAAATATATTTTAAATAAATAATTATATTTATATCTACTTTTGTATCGAGCACTATTTTTTAAAAATAATAACTAAAATACTTAGGAACTTTGGATTATTTACCTAACCAGATCTTTCCTATTTTCTATATATTTTCGCATATATATTATATTATATATATTATATTATATATAATTATATTATTACAACTGAATTGAACAAGTATGCAAAAATAGAAAAATGTCGTTAAAAGATACTACTTTGTATCACCGGTTTTATTTAACCTATACAGCGAGATGGTATAAAGACAAATAGGAATATCAGATTTATTTACAGGGGGACATAGACTTAACAATATAAGATACGACGATGAAAGTGTGGTCCCGGGAAAGTTCATCGAGATTATGTAGTAAAGCGAGAAGAATGGACTAACACTATAGTGTGAACGATATTACTCAGAACAAGAGGAAAGCTGATGCAGTACAAATTAGTTTAGTTGGATTAGAACTTGATTTTCACT